TGTCTCAAAAAAAAAAAAAAAAAAGCAATCCACAGAGTGGGGGTAAATAAGACAGTTTCCTAGAGGAAATATGCTCTGAACTGTATGTTGGTATGTTGGGGGGATCCATGTGAGTGAGCAGAGAGAAGGGGAGGACCATTCTGTGTGGGACAGTTTAGTGAAGGCTGAGAGCATGTCACCAACCAGAGCTAGTATGGAAAATACTAGTGCTTTTCTATACTACGAGCTACTGGGCATTGTCTTTTTGATGATGAATATTGATAATGTTTTTTGTGTAGCATGTGAGAGTCTACCAGGTACTTTTGATTTAATTTGACCCCATTAAGTGAGTCACAATGGCCTTGTGTATTTTCTTTTAGGTCCAACATCTAAGGATGGATCAATGTTGGTTTGTGTGTCCATTGCATACTGCTAAAACTCAGGGATTTTTGAATATTAGACAAGCTTACTTTTGAAAAGGTCCTTTTACTAGTGAAACAGGCATTAATGATCTCATTTTGGGTTAAGAGGATGAACCGGCACATTCATCTTTGAAAATTAAGAAATGTTTTTTTCCACTTAAATAATTATTTTTCAATAAAGAAAAATTCTATGAACAATACCCCCTGAAACATTTAAGGGATATTTAACATAATTTGCTGCATCAAAGTTTCATATCACTGTTATTTCAGCTAGTTGAGATATAATGTGAGTAAACACACATAAAAACTCTAATCCTGTAACATGAATCTGGTCAAAACTTTCCTCAATGACAAATGTCAGGGAATGTCAAAAGTTATAATACTATCAGACATTTTTAGTGACTGAGATTATAATTTCAACATTCTGGATCTATAATTAGTCAAATATTGACTCTCTTTCTTGGTATGACAAGTTGTAAGAATGAAAGAGAGGTAAGTTTTTATTGTTGATATTTGTGTTTCAGTGCCCACTGATGTGTCCCCTTCTTATATGGCCATTTGTATTAAATACTTTATTATACTTGTTTATAAAAGAAAGTTAGAAAGTACAGTGCAGAGAAAGGAAAAAGAAAATGAAAATCATAGCTTCCTTCCAGAGATACTCATTCCTCCACGTGTTTTCCACATGACAGCAACAAGGGGTGAGGATCTTCATCATGCTCTACAAAGAGGTGGAACTTGCTCTTGGAATCAATAGCGAATACAGCAAGAGGACCTTAGTGCGTCTACACCCCAACATAAAGGTACTCAGGTTAATCCTGGTGACCAGTGCTTTTTCTTTATTATTCTGCAAGACTTTCTCAGATATGTTTTGCTCTGACAGTGGTAATTTATAGAATTCCCTAATGTATGTTTGAGTAAATAGCATTGAGTCCTCAGAAATAAAACAAAATGTACTTTCTTATACTCCCTACACTGATGGGAGTCAGCAGTCACATTTTTGTTTCTCTGACCCCTGATAATTGAAAGCGACAATTTAGCCAAGAACCTAGTTTTTGCAGTTGTTTTAATATTCAAGAGCCCTACTGAGTTCTCACACTCCTCATTAGGATTATCCTGGAACCTCTTAGATGTGACCTCCCTGTGACATCCCCTCATCACTGATAGCAGCAAAGAGATCTCCTTTAGGATTTAAAGTGCTTTATTTTTTTTTTTTTAGAAATCAATAGAACCTAGTATAAAATATTAATAA